AGATATCTTGTCATTTGGCCTTGAACCGGAATCTTGCTGCTTCAGCTTCTCTGTACGAGCTTCTGCTCCGGCTTCAATAGGAGCTTCTCCTGCAGCTTTACGAGCTTCCGGTGCTGGACTGGTACTGGCGGCCCGCGCCAGTCTTCTCAAAAGATCCCGGGAATCCGAGCGCGTGTGACCGAGGCCCGGCCTCGAGGTTTCCGGTACATCAACTTCCTTCGGCGTCTCCTGAACCACAGGTGCCGACTCAGCGTTCTTCGTCTTGGCCTCCTCACGTTCATTTGGCTTGCGATACACCGTCACAGGTGTGTTGGGAACACGCTCGCCGTCGTCCTTGGACAAGGTGCGCCTGTGGGTCGGGCTCTTATTGTTCGAGGGCTGCTGGACAACAGACTGGCGGTTGGGACGGGGCGCCGCTTCGGGCGACAGTGATCTCGACATGTTGAACTCGCGTATATCATCCAGGCGACTCGCAGCGAGAGCCTTCTTCGACGTGAACGCCTTCTCGCGCTCTCTGATCTCGTCTAGCTTGGTGTTCTTCGGCAGGTCGTCGTCCCGTCCGGCAAAGGCCTCTTCGACCTCGCGCTCGCGCCGTCGGATGTCGTCGAGCTTGGTATTTATAGCCACGTCTTGGTTCCGCTCAAAGGCCGCATCATTGGCGAACATGCGCGAGGCGACATCCCCCGTAAGAGTGTCCAGGTTCATTCGCGGGCTGTCCGAGAATTGCAGGTCGCCGGCCGTGAAATCGTCCTCGATCTGCCAAGCAAAGTCTTTGTTGGGAGAACGCCCCTCCAGCTTGGGGACAATGGCGGATGTGGGTCGGGAACAAGGCGGTGTGGGTTCCTGGGGCTTGTCGCCCTCAACCTCGACCGAGGGGAGGGGCATGTCGGCGGAATCCTCTTTGAAGCTCTTCCCTTCTTTCACGGCAGCGGCTTTCTGCTCCTCGCGGGTCAAGAGATGGGTGACCCAGCCCTTGGGCACGTGCCCCTTGGCAAATGCCGCCGGTCGAGGGCTCGTGCCGCTGAGGCTGCCGGTGCTCGTCTTCTTCGCCAGCGTCTGGCCCGTCTCGGCAATCTTGGGTCCTATCCTCGAGTTGCCGAAGAGACTAGACCGACGACTCGGCGAGATGGACGAGTGCCGCTGCTGCTGCCGCTGCTGCTGCTGTTGGGCGTAGGCGCTCAGTCGGCGTTCGAAACTGCCAGTACTCGAGGTGCTGTCGGCCGAGTGCCCGCCCTCGTCTTCGGAGACGGCGCTGTCGGCGTGTCGTGGGTGTGCCTTTTTGATATCGAGGGGCCCCTTGCTCAGCATCCTGCGCAGACGGCCGTCGTCCGAGGCCGGCAGGGAGTGGCGGGGTCGAGGCGCAGGGCTCGGGGAGCCATCGATGGGCAGGGGCGACAGGCGTCGAGTCCGCGGCGCAGATTCGAAGCGGCGTTCTTCGGCTTCAACCATTTTATAGGCGTCAGCAATGGATATGGGCTTTCTCGCCTTGGAGAAGACGCCGGCAGCGGAGCTTGGTCGGGGTATGCGCGATGCACTGTCGGCGCTGTTGTTCGAGGCGATGGATGGTGAGGGAGAGACGGAGCCGGGGCGGGGGATCATGGAGCCGACGGCGAGGGCGTGACCATCGGAATATGCATTTCTGGCCATGCCGGGTCTCGTGTCGTTGGTGTAGGGCACCCCACCAAGACTCTCTTGGGAGGGCTTCTGGAAGAGCGGCTTCCGGCCGCCCTTGTTGATGACGAGGGGTAAAGAGCTGCGTCCATTGGTACGTGTAGCCAAAGGGCCAGTCTCATGCTGTCGTGTGTCCATGTCGGTGGAGCTCGGGGAGAGGCGTGGTGGTGCCGGTTCGAGGCGATGTCGAGCAAGAGTCGGTGTGCGTTTGGTGGGTGGCAGCGGTGATCAGAGTGTGGGTAGGTGCATGATACCTGGGTGTCTCGAGACAAGTCGCGTCATGACAGAATCGCGGGGTCCAAGAAGAGAGAGAGAAAGGAATGGAGAGGTATTTCCAGTTGAGCACAAGGAGAAGAATGTTCGCCGACACGGTCCGGTCACAGAACAGAGTCGTGGCCGAAAGGAATATGGCCACTGTTTTGGATGCTCGCCAAAAAAGGAAGCGCAGCAGAGCTCAGGAGATGAAGCGCGTCTTGGAGGAGCACGGGCCGCCAGACGGGGATCCACCGTTGTTGATGGCAGGCAAGAAGGGTCCATCTTGGCTCCGTACCCACGTGCTTAGGTAGGTAGGTGCGTACCTAGGCATTTACCTAAGGTATGTAGGTAGGCACAGTGCCTGGGCAATCAGGGCAATGTACTGTACCTGAGCACTAGACCTACCTTACCTCAGGCAGGCAGGCAGGCAGGCAGGCAGGCACGTTGCACAAGCTATATCGTACCAGGAAGCAGGCGCGAATGGTGCTGTGCCTGTCCTGCTTGATCATAGGCCAATGGCAACTGCCTCCTACACAATGCACTAAAACACCAGAAACCATCGTATCTAGCTTCAAGAACAATACAAACTCGATTGCATTCAACACCAACAGCGACTACATCCTTTGTCCAGTCATGATCACCCGGCGCTCTCGGAGCCCAGTCTCCCATGGGCCCCACATGTCGACGGCATGCCCCTTGCCCGATTCCCGTGCGTGCAAGGTCTATGGTCTGGGATCTGGGATCTGGGATCTGGACCTGGACCTGGAGACCTTGAGACCTTGAGACCTGCGTCAACGTCGTAGCTAAGGCTTTGGTTTGGCGGACTGTTTAAAACCCCCGGCCACGTGCTCAGCCCTAGGCATTTCTCTGCCGCTTGCGCGAACGACTGACTTGCTTGTTTCCCTGGAACCTCGCTCTGCTACAAGCAACCCAACATGGCTGGTCGGATTGTGGTGAGGTCTTGCGGCCAGCTGTGAGTCTCTTTACATCCAGGCCCTTCGCACCCCTGACACATAGACAGGGAACAGTATTCCACCTCGAGGCATTCGTTGGGCATCTACTTTGGTGTATCGACCACCTGTCGCTACCATGTGCCTTCCGAACATAATGTGCCTTCCGAACACAGCAACACCATGGCTCTACGCCCGGCCATTGAGCAAGCCGTGGCCCAAGTTGTCTTGAAGCAGCCATTCATGCGCGTTGGCATCACCGGCGAGGACACGAAGCAGCCGAATTTTGTTCACGTCCCCGTCATCAATCTCTCCACCCAGATTCGATGGCTCGAACCGATTGAAGTGGCCTCGGCCGATGCCATGCTCGAGAAGCTGCTTGCCGTGCAGTTGGGCACCCGCTGGCCTGACCTCGACACGCGCCCGCCATGGAAGGTCACCGTCGTACCTCTGAATGCCCGTGACGGGCATCTCACTGCCCTCGACATTGTGTACACCTTTCATCACGCCATTGGCGACGGCACCAGCTCCGCCATCTTCCACAAACAGCTCCTCGAAGCTCTTTCCAAGCCGGCACCCGTGCCTTCTCTATCCTCAGCCGGCCTTCTCACCCTCTTCGAACCTGCTATTCTGCCGCCGCCCCAGGAAGAGCTCATCAACTTCTCCATCAGCTGGCCCTTCTTCCTGCGAACCCTCTGGAAAGCCTTCGGTCCCGACTTTCTCAAAGCAAAGCCGAACCCCGTCCCCTGGACTGGCAATCACGTCAACTTGGCCAATCCCTTCCAGACCAACGTTTGCCTCTTCACCCTACCCGCCGCGACATCCTCGGCCCTCCTCGCCGCCGCCCGCACCAACGCGACGACCCTGACACCGCTCTACCACGCCCTGGCCCTTCTCTCCTTTGCCCGCCGCCTGCCCGCCACTACGGCCCCCAAGTTCGTCCACGGCTCTTCCATCAGTGCGCGGCGCCTTGTCGATCCAGCCGTCCTTGACACGTCCTCGCAAATGGCCGTCCTCGTTACCTCTCTCATCCACCCTGACACGGCCGCCATGACGTCGCAGTTCCGCGCCCGCCACGGCTCCGACCTGGACTCGCTCGTCTGGCAAGCAGCGTCGGCCATTGCCACCTCGTTCCTCGACAAGATTGCGTCCCTGCCCCGCGACGACGTTACGGGCCTGCTGAAATGGGTCGGCGACTGGCACACCTACCTGCGCCAAGCCGACGGCAAGCCCCACGACTGGACGTGGGAGATCAGCAACCTCGGTGCTCTCAAGGCCGTGGGCGATAATGGGTGGGGCATCACGAGGGCCGTGTTCGCGCAGTCGGCGCTCATGTCGGGGCCGGCGATGACGCTGAACCTCGCGGGAGTCGTGGGCGGAGAGATTTCGGGGACCATGACGTGGCAGGAGAAGACTGTGGATGCTGGGCTCGTCGAGGGGGTAGTGAGCGATCTTGCCGAGTGGTCGAGGAGGCTTGCCGAAGAGGGTACATTGGGCCTGTAGGTGTTGAGGGGAATGGACACCGGCGAGTGCCATGAATAATGTTTAATACGACTGACGGAAATCGTTTCTTGCTATCGCCACAAAAGCTGCGAATCAGAGGGATGGCACCTCGAGCATGAACTTGGTAAGGAAGACTAGGTTCATATGACCTTTTTACTTGAAGGTCGGTGCATCCATAGCTACTCAAGCCTCTATCGCGCTGATCATTTTATAGAACGCTTAATTCCTTGTCATTCGGTTCGATGTTTCCACTGCCAACTCTTCGAGAGCATACATGCAACTCCAGCAGATGCTACACCAAGTCAATGTCCACCAGCGGCACTCCTTTACTGCTCAACACGTCTGGCGTCAACGTCATCCGACGCTCCAGCGCCTCCTTCCAAGTCGCGCTCTCCTTCATCTTCTCACTCAAGAACCCTCGCGCGAACAACCGTGGATCATCCCACGTGGGAACGGACTCGCCGTCTTGCAGAAAAGCAGGCACGACCTCACTCGCATCCGGACTGTCCCTCCACACGGCCGTCCACCCTGCAGGCAGCGGCCCAAAGATGCCCTCGCCGTTCATGAACCCATCCACATACGCCTCGCCCACCTCGGCAAAGCCGCGACCATCCCCAATGGTAGGCGCAGGCGTCAGGAGAAGCAGCGAAGGGCACCCGGGCAAAACGCAAAAGACGTCGCCAACCTGCGCCGCCACGGGCACGCGCGCCACATGGCCGTCGTCTGTCAGACATACCATGCCCCTCTGCTGGCGGTTGCGGAACACGGTCAGACAGCGGGCCTCGACGGCGTTCATGGTCCGGCTGGTGCCCCTGTCCTCGTCAAAAGTGGCCTGCATGAACGCCCTCGCCTCGTCAAAGACCATGTCGTCCCCCGTGTCGCGCGCGGCCGGCACCGTCCTGTCGCGAAACTGGTTGCCGAACCACAGCCGCGTAAAGGCCTCGAGGAGGTCATCGTACCCCTGATACGCCGTCTCGGCTTTACGCACGGCCCAGAACGCGTCTCTGAGGTCCGAAAACTCAGCCCAACAGCGTGTTGGACT